AAAAGAAAAAAAGGCATGAGAGAAACATTCCTTTACAAACCTTAAGACTTAATAAAAAAAATTAGATATTTTACATATGAGAGCATTGTAATGTTTACTGATAAACTGCCATATTTTGTTAATATTCAATTACTAATTTAATAGTTATAGCATGAAAGCTATAACAAGCACAAAATGGTTATGAGGTCGGTCCCAGGGACAGAGCCCAGGTTGAAATGAGTTAACTATATATAATAATAAACTAATATTAAATCAATAGTGCTCAATACACTAAAGCTAATTATCATTATCCTAAACAATAATCCCAAGAAATTAAATTGTAGACATGCAAGTTTTTAAATGCTTCTAAACACAAGTTCCAAAACAAGAATATTTCTGAATTTTCAAGAGAATTGAATGAATTTTGTGTTTAAAATACACAATGAGAAATCCTGGTTATTAAAAATGACTGACTTTTGTGTTCTATACACAAGTTATTGTAATAATGAACACATTATACTGTACCTAATAAGCTTACATGTATATATATTTTAACATAACATATTTGGAATAAATCTGGGAGTTGAAAGTTTAACTTGAAATTTAAAATTGTCTGTTTTATTGAAAATTAAACTTGATTGTTCAATTATATATGCTGATATCTAAAACCAGTTATTGTACCTTCTTTTCAGTGGAAAAGTTTTTCTAGAGTGACCTCTGGTAGATAAATTTGTACAATTGCCTAGAAAACTTTGTTAATTCAGTATACCATACATACTGTATATATATGCAATCACAACTGACAGGCAAAGCTTTACTATATTTTCTTAGTAACATGTATAATGTATGAAAATTCTATTCCAAATAAATACAAATTTGTAACTTGTAGGCTGTTTACCTCCCATTGGAATTCCCTGTAGCTGTTGCAAGATATACTGGCCAAAATACACAAATATATTATACAGTAAAACAATGCATAGCCTGCAAAAATTAATTTAATTTTAATGTAAAACAGTGGTAATTTACTTTTTATATTCCATAAAATTACCCATTATAAAGGATTAATACTGATTTTATCTTTGACAATATTATAGTATTTCTTTAAAATTAAATGCTCTTTAACCCATTCACTACAACAGTGAGAGCTAATGTATTTCATTTAGAGTTCATTTCCTATCTGAACTGAAAATTCTTTAATCACAGCATTTTTTTGCTTGAGCAATATATCTGGATTTGTTTTATATAACTTAAGAATCCAAAACAACTTAGGTATAAAAATGTTTAATTTAACCAAATGTACATCAAACTCAAAGTCTGATAAAACTGAAAATAGTGAAATGTGTTTATAAATCTTGTTACCCGAGGGTTTTAATATATTCAACTTCAGCATTAATTCTTTATATAAATTTTAAATATAAAACTTTTTACAAATGAAAACAAAATTGATAGCTGCTTATTTGCGAGAGCTAAAGAATATCTACTATATAAAAAATCTAAGTGCTCAGTAACTTCTTTCTTACTCATAACAATGTCATTAATGATAACATGTTCATTATCGTTGACTGTGCTTATTTTAGTGAGAATTGCTTTAAATATATTATGCGTTTCATGATTATGTCTTTTTACTTTATTAACCAAGCTTCTAAATCTGATTACTTTTCAATTATTTCTTACTACAATAATACATTGATAATGATACTATAGGGCATAGGCCAACAACACACTGTAAGCTGGGGTGATACTGTTACTCAACTCAAGTTTTTACCATTACCATTCAACTATGGTTAAGCCTAATACAAAACACAGTAATTAGAGTAAATAGAGAGCATAGTACAATAAAACATTTTAATTATTGTAAAGGTAGTATGAACAGACGAATATTAAAATTAGTTATCAAGTTAGAAGAACTACAAAAAACTTACAAAGAAACTGTTATTGTTTGTCAAGATGGCAGACAAGTTAACTTTACACCGAACTACCATTAACAACTGAGTTGGCAAAGCATTATGGGAATAACGCGGTAGATTTATGTGCTAAATGATGAAGGACTGTGCATTAATACTAGTCCGAAAATTAGTTCCTCACATGGTAACAAAAGTAATCTGTTTCCAAAGATATTAATATACGCACACATATATATACTTCTTTTAAAATCACATTAAAAATATAATAAGAAATTTTATACAGCAGGTTTATAGAACGTTCTATTATACTAATTATTGATATAAGTTTGGGCGATTTATATTTTAGTATTATTTCTTTATGTTATATGAGTGGCCTCCCAGTGGCACTGCGGTACGTCTACGGACTTACAACGCAGGAAACCGGGTTTCGATACCTGTGGTGGGCAGAATACAGATAGCTCAATGTGTAGCTTTGTGCTTAACTACAAACAAACAAACAAACTTGTATGAGTGACACTATTTGTTTCAGGTCTAAGTATTAAAAACAATTATAGAAATCAGAAAACTTACATCATATATAGTACAATGAATATTTCACACAAGATTGTAAGTTTATACACAACATATTATGATATGGCAGTGTTGTATATTACCAGATATGGCTAAAGTAACTGGAAATTTTTGGTATATATTTTATTGTGGTCATCTTTATATGGAGGTGGCTTTTTTTTTCTCGTTACTTTGGTTGTTAATGTTATGTTACGACAGCGGAAGTCACGTGACGCTGCTAGCGTGATGAGTTTCTCGAATGATCGAGAATTTTGGAGATGGCTCATCGTTAGTATATAAGTGTTGCGTCAGCGAGTCACATGACTACAGTGACGCCACGTTTCTAGAACTATCCCGTATCTTGACGAATG